TAACAGCTGGGAAGGGTCAGAGCCAGGACTGACCCCAGGCAATGTAGGTTCCAGGAGGCCACTACTTTCTTCTAATGCTGTGCTCTCTTCTCTCGCTCTTTTTTTTTTTTTTTTTTTGCGTCCAAATGAATAAATTACACTTGTGACCAAGTAATAAAAGTAATTGTTTAATTTTTTTTTTATTTTTTTTTTTTATTTTATTATTCATATGTGCATACAAGGCTTGGTTCATTTCTCCCCCCTGCCCCACCCCCTCCTTACCACCCACTCCGCCCCCTCCCTCTCCCCCCCTCCAATACCCAGCAGAAACTATTTTGCCCTTATTCTATATTTTGTTGTAGAGAGAGTATAAGCAATAATAGGAAGGAACAAGGGTTTTGCTGGTTGAGATAAGGATAGCTATACAGGGCATTGACTCACATTGATTTCCTGTGCGTGGGTGTTACCTTCTAGGTTAATTCTTTTTGATCTAACCTTTTCTCTAGTACCTTCCCCTTTTCCTATTGGCCTCAGTTGCTTTAAGGTATCTGCTTTAGTTTCTCTGCATTAAGGGCAACAAATGCTAGCTAGTTTTTTAGGTGTCTTACCTATCCTCACCCCTCCCTTGTGTGCTCTCGCTTTTATCATGTGCTCATAGTCCAATCCCTTGTTGTGTTTGCCTTGATCTAATGTCCACATATGAGGGAGAACATACGATTTTTGGTCTTTTGGGCCAGGCTAACCTCACTCAGAATGATGTTCTCCAATTCCATCCATTTACCAGCGAATGATAACATTTCGTTCTTCTTCATGGCTGCATAAAGTGTACTTCCTTTTTAATCACTGCCAAGGGAGTCGTAAAAATGAGGCTGTTGCCCACTATTCGTGGAGCTTAAAAACCGTGTTTGGGTAGAAGGATGGGCACCTGGCTGTTCATTTGTGACAGTAAGCTGTGTGGTGGGCTCTGAAAGCCAAGGACGTTGCGATTTCTGTTCTAGAACCTCGCAGGAGAGGCAGAATGAAGAGAATGAGTTCCCAGAGGAGGGCAGGTGTGACATGTGTTAACCAGGTGGCTGACTACTCACAGGAATGCAACCTTACCAGAAGCTGAAAAAAACCCTCAAGAATGACACTGCTGATGTTCTTAATTCTAGGCTGTTTGGCAGGTCTTGAAACTTTAAATAGCCCTGCAAAGGGATGTGGTAAATCCACATGACCCCTCTGCTGTGACAGCTTGGCCCTGTCCAAATGAATCTTAGTCACTCCTTCGGCTATTTTCAGACCAAGTCTGATTTTGTGGCATTGGGAGAAGGACAGCATGTCTGTTGTGATGGGTGAGCCCGAGCCCTCTGGTGAAATGTCTGTACTCAGGAGATGGAAGGTTCGACCTTGCTTAGTACAAAGTTACATGAGGCCAAGGCAGTGTTAAGAGTTAAAAAGACTTAGGGAAGACTTAAGAAAGAAGTGCAATTAACAGTTTCTTTGGAGAGGAAACTAACTGTAAAAACAGCTTTCAAATTTCACAGCAATCAAATTTCACTTTGAGTGATAAGATTTAAAAAAAATTGTGTAGGCTATACTGGTTCAGGTGGGTATCAAGGCAAAGAAATAAGTCTTGAGAAACTCCTTTGGGCACCATCTCAATACTGGCATATCATTAATAATTACTTTTGTCAAAAATTTTAAGAAAGCAAATAGAGAGGAGCCAGTTTGAACTCCTGACTATAAAGACAACTAGGAGAAAGGCTTAAGTGGGAATACTCACCACCAGCAATGACATGTTAAAACTCCCCTTGTTCTATAGCAGCATTCACTGTTCAACAGAACTTTCTACAATGTTCCATATCAGTGCTGTCCAATAGGACAGCCACTAGCCGTGGTATTTGTTGAGAACTTGAGATGTGCTAGTGTGAGTGGGGAACTGACCCTTGAATTTTATTTAACTTGAATTAATTTAAATTTAAATAGTGGCTAGAAGGGATACCATGTTGGACATTTCAGCTTTACAGGATATTGTACTCTGATAGTTTCCCACAAACTCATATAAATCTAGAGTTGTATAAAACCAATCACAAACTTCAGGAGTTGAATAATAATAATAAATTAATAATATCATTGCAATTTATGACATAAATGAATATATGTAAGAAAAGTTTTATAGTTGGCAGGAGTCATGTGACTAAGGAGGACTATTATCCTATCAATCACTTAAAGAACAGAGTTAACATTTTCAGCATCAAAAGTAAGTCAAACATAATAATTTTAAGACCACACTATAATATTTTCCTGTTTCCCTGGGTGGGGTACTGTCCAATAGCATTTTCTCCCAGGACAGAAAAGCCTCCATTGTTTAATGTTGGTTTTTTCCCAGAACCTTTTGAAGTCTGATGGACTCACCCTATAGGGTAATTACCAGGTTTTTGTTTTAAAAAATGAGGGGGAGGACAGGGAGAGTGGTAAGAGAAAGAAAGATACATAGGAAGAAAAAAGAAAAGATTCAGGTGAGTTGATCTGAAAATATTTTCTAGTAGTTCAAGGTAGTGGGGGATTTTATTTACTGCTTTGTGATGGTTGTTTAATCCTACATCCAATGCTAATTCAGTGTTATTTCCATTGAACGAAACTCACATTTTAAAAAATTTAAATTTTATTATTATCATTATTTTTAATGAGTCTCACTACATAGCCCAGGCTGGCCTAGAACTTGTGATCCTTCTGCCTCAGCCTCCCAAGTGCTGGGATTATAGATGTAAACCACAACACCTGGCTAAACTCCTACTTTTGATCAAAATATTTAAGTTTGAGAAACCAATCTAGATTTATATTCAACAATAACAGATAACAATGTAACTACATTTCTACTATGAATTTTTTAACACACCATATATTTATTCAATCTTGTCCATTAAATTGAATAATTTTTTATTTTTAAAATTTATTTATTTTATTATTGTTTTTCTTTTATTCAGATGTGCATACAATGTTTGGGTCATTTCTCCCCTCATTCCACTCTCCCTCTACTATGAATTTTAAGGGCAAAACAAACCTAAAATACAATTTATCTTCCAGTTGTAAAAATCTGTTTTTGATTCATACTGAGATATTAACTTAAATGATTAAAAAAACCAAAAGCTTATTGAAGGGATGGTAATTTTTAGAAATGAGAATTTAGCTATAACAAAACCAATGGCCAACATGAGGGCATCTTTACGGGAATCAAAACAGAATAAAAACATTATCATGAAAATATATCTGATTGGCTTTTGTGGACTTCTTTAGTTTACCTTTAGTTTCCTCCTTGCATTGAACTTCCTCAGTTGTTCTACTGTTTCTGGAAGATGAATCTTGTAGGCATAACGATCCCGCTCCTGTAGAAGAAAGATAATGAGCAATATAACTATGTAAAAAAGTGAAGAAGCTTAATATAAAGCGATAAAGTCTAAATTCTGAAATGCAAAGCTTAGACTTAATTTGAGGAGATTGGAGATTTTATTCCATGATAATGGTAAGCATTCTGAAATGAGGGACATGAAGGTTAATTGATAGTAAAATAATATTTTATTTTCCGTAATAATGAAGGACTGCAATAATAGATCATCTAATTTTTCAGATATATGGCTATGTGGCTAAAATAATCATAATTATTGTGGAGGTGTGAGGCTACTTTTGACATGATTTTTGTTAGGAAAAAACATCATTTGCAAAACGAGCTCCACAACTGATTCAGTATCCAGTATTGTCAGGAATAACTGCACTACAAAAAAAGTCACAAAATTTTCCAACTAGGACAAAGTTTTCAGGGATATCTGATTCAGCCACTTCTTCCATGTGGGATCGCCTTCAGTCCTAATGAATGATCATTCTGTTTGACCTTGCCCAGTAAGAGGTCATTATTTTATAGCAGCCCATTAGAATTTTAAGAAAGAGTAACTTAAAAAATATTCTTTCTCAGCCTGGGCCTACATATCACTTATTTAGGCCAGCTCTGTCTTCTGTGGCAACACAGAGCAAACGTACTACGTCTCCCATACAATAGTCCTTTAATTGTGAAATGGGGACTATGCTCCCACTAAAGCTTTTCTCTGAGATAATGTCCCCAGTTGCCTCTGCTATTACTCATGTATATTTCAACCTTGTTATTCATCTTATCATCCCTTTGGTTCTATTCTAATTTGTCAATGCATGTTGAAGATTTATATGCTATAAATACTCATTCATTTCATAAATATTTCTTGGGAGCCCATTTTGTGCCAGGCATTGTTATATATACAAGTAAAATCAACAAAGATACCAGTTCTTATGTAACTCATATTCTAGTCAGAGGTGAGAAAATACCAAAAAGGCACCAACTGAGCTAGGAAGACTGGGGCAAGCAGCCTGAAAGATGCGTGTCATGTCTGGATTCTAGAGCCACAAACAGGAACTGGAACTGATTTCTAAAACATTCCTTATTTAACAAAGTAAACACTTTCCCCCAAAGTGTACTGTATTACTGATAAGGAAATTGAGTCAAAAGTCAAGTGCTAAGATGACTATCTAGTGATGAGACAAAGAAAGCACATTTCATGTGATGCCTGTACCAGTTACACCAAATCCCTGGATAGGATGTATATGAGACCGGTACTCTAATCCTTGCACTATGGGGGCCCAATGGATTGGGCATAGAAAGTAACTACTTAAAGACTCTGAAAACTGGAGAAAAGAAGGTGGACTGAGTAGGTATCCCATGATTTGAAGGGGGATCTTATGATGATACTGCTGCAATTTTTTTCTTTGTCTCCTATAACATACCCCAGCCTGGGTGTGAGAACCCCCCCCCGCAACCTGCAAACTCCAAGGTCAAGAAGTGGAGACAAAATGAGCCCCAAGAAAAGCCCAATGAGAAGAGGCTGTCCGTGTCTTTAGGTTATATCAGTACCATCTAAAACTGTACTTCATAGCCTGGTTATGCCTTCCTCTCTCCAACATATTGGCACATTTACTACATCTCTAACCATGAATTCTATGTCTAGATAATCCCCTTTCCACTCACCATTCACTAATCTGAAGTGGACAGAGATAAGGACAAAGCCCAAAAGTATGTTAGATTTTTAAATAAAATTATGCTTTAATTATGACTTCTGATATTTTCTAAGTAGATGAAATCACAAGATTTAAAAAAGTCTGTTAAACTGTCTCTTACCAGAAAACAAGCAACAATAAAACTCTGAGGCATTATAAGTGAGGCAAGAATAAAATTAACATTTTTCTGGATTAAACAGTCTCTCCTGACACTAATAATAAATATAAATTCAGAAAAGTTTCTCTAGCAATGTTTCTTGCACTTTAATTAAATACATGATTCATAATCCTGAATACATATTTCATTGGTGGGTTGGTTGACTATTCCAAAATTCAAATTGATTAGCCTAATATAAATATTCTTTTCATCTTTTATTACAATCATTTTTTTTTATTTTTGGGTGCTGGGAATGCAACCTAGAGCCTTGCACATGCTAGGCAAGTGGTCTATCACTGAGCTACATCCCTAGCCCATTACCGTCAGTAAATTTTACACTCTATATATACTAAGACTATAAAACATTGAGAGGTACTCAATAACTTGTGAGGAAAGTCTAATCTTAGTTGCCCTACTTTTGTGGGAATGAATATTCATAGTAAGTATCATTAATTTGGGTAAAGGTATTAAACAGGTATAATTTAAAAATTATAAACACACTCATATTACTTGGTTTAATACTCAAAATCTTTTTTTGGCATGGAATGAGTAAAATGGACTTCCATTTACTAAAGAAATAATTCTTGTCTTTTTTTTCCCTTTCTTTTTTTGACTCAAAACAGTGGTATTAGTGGTTTTGGGTACTCTTCATTATGAGAATTTTCACCATCTTATTTTTTCAGCTTACAATTATTCAGGACTTTTTCATAATCAAATCATAGCTTAAATTTTAGCCATTGTAAATCAAACCCACTTACATCCACTGTCATGAGTTACAAGTACCGAAATATAATGGAAGCTGGCTCTCACAGACTAGATCACCTTCTCATTGAATACTTCCATCTTCAGAAGACACAGAAGCAGTAAAGTTAAGCTGAGGTCCAGACATGGCACGTGACACTGAGCTCCAACAGCCTTCTGGACTTTTTTCCTTTAAGTAACTGACATTTTTTGTCTTTTGTCTTTCCAGTACCACAAATCTATTATGCATTAAGGTCAGATTTCTTAGAATAAGAACTATAATCATTGACAAGGACAAGAGTTTCCAAAAAGAAATGTTATTAGGCAAGATAAGCTTTGTTAAAGAAAGCCATTGTAAGTATATTCTATATAATATTAAAACATTTTCTAAAAAGGATTTTAAAAATTACTAAAATGGCAGCCATTGTCATTGTTATTTGGCATTTAAACTAGCTTCTAAAGAACAAAAGATCCCATTAGGGAGAAAAACAATGATGGAAGAATCCTCTCTAAACCGTTCATCTCATATTTGGGAGAAAAAAATACTAAGAAAGTATCCAAGAACATACTTTTTTCTGGGGAAAGTCCATGAATAACTAGTACTGAATATCAGGGTTGAATGCATGCTTGAGAGGTAATATTTGTACTGCAGTACTAGGGATCACACCGAGGGCCTGTACACGTTAGCCAAGTGCTCTACCACTAAGCTATATCCCAAGCCAAAGAAATAATATTCTCAAGGAGAATCAAGAGCACCGGAATCCCAGAATTGTTCTGTGATATTATTTCATGCCATCACCACTAAGATACATTATTAATCTTGGTTTTTATATATTTTATTGTTTTGAATAACCTCTGGGAAAGAAGCATAGTATAATATAATGAATATAATGAACATCCATCCATTCTTTCACTAAATCATTAATATACTGAGTACCTACTATGTGCCAAAAACTTTCTAGGTTCTAGACTGAAGTGAATCAAGAGCTGAAAATTCCTACCACTATGTAGCTTATATTTTATGGGGTAGATGGACAACAAATCCGTAAAATATAAGTGTGTCTTATGGTGACAAAGGCTGAGGAGAAAAATTAGGAAGGGAAAGGAGATATGGAATTCCGGAGGCATTCCTTTCCCCAAATTTTAAATTTAAATTAGAGGTCATGGAAGGTTTTACTAAGAAGCTGGTATCTAAGTGAAGATGTGAAGACAGTGAGGGAACAAGCCAGAAGATATCCAGGGGAAGAGTGTGCTAGGGAAAGGGCGTGACTAAAACAGAGTGGTTGAAGCAGATCAGTACCTATAGTCTAAGGATCAGCAAGGAGGACAATATGACAGGAACTGAGGGAGAAAAGGGGGAGTAGGGTGGGGTGAAATCAGAAAGGTATCTGAAAGCCAAATTGTACAGCAGGCTAACAAAGAATACTTCAGGGGAGAGGCCTGGATTTAGGAGTCATCAGTATACAGACAAAATTTAAAGCCAGTGAAACTAGATGAAGTCTGCCGGGTCCTGGGTAAAGATGGAGAAAAAGAGGAAGAATAAAGATAGGGGCCAGAGGCACTCCATTGTAAGAGATGAGTGAGGGGACATGAGGACAAATCAGCAAGTTCTGAGGAGAAGCAATCAGAGTGGTAGAAGGCAGAGCAGCAGAGCAGGTTACTGGAAGCCAAAGGGAGACATGTTTCAGGAGGACATATGTCAAATTTGCCATCAGGCCAAGAAGGACAAGGTCTGGATTTGAGCACTAGAGTTAGCAATGTGAAGGTCAGTAGCAACTTGACAAGAGTGATTTTTAACTTTTTAAGTTTCTGTGATGTTGGGTCTCAAACGCAGGGCCTTGTACCTGCTGTCAAGTGCTCTACCACTGAGCTGCATCCTCAGCCCAACAAGAGTTGTTTCAGTGGAGTTGGTAAGACTCCTGACTAGTGTGGGTTCAAGAGAAAGGGATGTGAGAAATCGCAGGAAGTGAGTACTGATAACTTTTTTCTAAGAGTTTTGCTGTGAAGAGATCACAGAATACAGCAGAAGCTGGAGGGGTTGCAGGACCAAAAGAAGGTGTATGTGTATAAATGTAGGTAAGTAATAAAAATAAATTATGGCCTGTGAGATCCAGAAAAGACAGAAAACTGACGATGCAGAAAAGGGGAAAGTTGTTGGAGCAATGTTGTTGAGTATGTGAAGGAGATAGATCTCGTGTATAAATGACAGGGTCATGGTAGGCTGAATTAAAATCCTGGTTTCACCACTGATAACGTCTGTGACTCACGGAAAGATTCTTAACCTCTCTGAGCATTAGTTTTCTCATCTACAAATGAGAATTTCCTGGGATTATTGAACTGCATAGTGTTTCAGTCAAACAGTACACTTCTCTGATGTCTCAAGTTAGAATTTTCTTTAATACTCACTGGAAAGATGGGAGATAAAAACATTTTTTTTAAAATGTGCTTTTTCCCTTAGATGGCAAATTTGTACCTAGTTAGTATCATTATCTGCTGTAAAGCCCATAGTCACATCCAAAACGAAGACAATTAGTTTATTATGATACAGGATTATTTCAGTGGTACATGTTGCATCATGGAACATGTGCCCGCACAGAATAAATAGGCCTTGGCCTTCTATATTAACCTGCTTTTGTGCCCTCTGTCTGAGAACTGAGTAGCATGTCAAGGCCTGCAAATGAGGGAACAGGAAACATGATAGACAAAACTAATGGAAGGGCCCCAGAAACAAGAGAAGGTGAGAAGGGCCATCTTCACCGGAAGTGTTCAAGCAAAATGTGAATGGTGGCCTATGACCTTGTATACCTTAAGCCATGGGTGATTCAGAGCTTCATAAACAGTGATCCTTTCAGCGGGGTCCAGCATCAGCATGCGGCGTACTAGGTCTTTGGCACTTTCAGAGATATGGCTCCACTGCCTTGGATTCATCTGAGGAGGAGAAAAGAAAGTTACATCATTATCTTCAGTGAGAAGTTAACATTTGCTGTTATTTACTATTCCTATACTGCTTCAATGTGGGTAAAATTCTTAGACCAAAGAACAGAAATCAGATTCCTTCCTTCCTCTTTTTCTTTTTTTTGAGACAAGGTTTTGCTATGTATCCCAGGCTGGCTTCAGACTTGTGATTTTCCTGCCTCAACCTCCCGAGTGCTGAGATTACAGTGGTGTGCCACCATGCCTGGCTAAAAGGCTTGCTTTCTGAGGAAGAGGAGGACAAATGGAATTCTTTATTGTTGACCATATGAAAATTTGCATCACTAAATATTTTGTACATGTTTTGTTGTTATATTGTTATATTTTTCAATAATTGAAGGGTAGAATGCTCATGATTTCAGTTTCTATCTGTAGATTCCTAGCTAAAGAGACTAGAATGCCTTGATCCAGAAAGAACTAAAATAAAATTTAAAAATTAAAAAATTTAAAGAAATATTTTTTAAAGCTGGGATCTATAGTAGTTGTGAGGCTATGAAAAATTATTAATAGGATATTTTTGTCAGAGTATATCAACTTCCGTATTTAGGAAAAATACTATTACCATAACCCTACAAAATAATCAGTTCACTTTAAACCATCCTCAGCAAAGTCAATTTTGTCTTTCTTTTAGAGATGAGACAACTATGCCACATGGTAAATTGATCAAAATCAAACAAAAATAACTACAGTTGTTCAAAAGACTTCTGAGAATGGCTGTGGGTCTGTGAGGAAAAAGCTGGAAGTTTCCTGGAAAAGGGTATGATATGCATGAAACCAGAAATCAGAAAAACATTCAAGAAGAATACTGAGGGCTTGGTATTGTGAGGCAAATGGGAACAGAAGGTAGATAGAGTAGGATCTCATTCAGCAATTGGAAGCTGACTGATTGGGTGAGCTTATGGGAGCTGCTTGGTTCTAGGCACTTCAAGCAATGTTAAGGCTTTGTGTGTGCATATGCATGTGTTGTGTTCCATCACTGGGGATGAAGCCCAGGGCCTTGTGCATGCTAGACAAGCACTCTACCACTGAATAACCCAGGTTTTAAAACCAGCAGAGACATGTCAACATGTGTTGTTGTTTTCTGTGGTGTTGGGAATTGAACCCAGGGCTTTGTGCATGCTGGGCAAATGATACCACTAGGCCACATCCCAGGTCCCTATGTCACCTTCTAAGGGAGGAAGATGGAGAATAAACTCCACAACAGTTTTAAGCCAAATGAAATCAAGTACTTGCTCAGAGTACAAATGAATCATTCCAATTTGGTCAAGGGCTACCGATAAACACTTAGTTGTGGTTGAGATGAGGCTCTGGACTTGCAGATGGAAAGGAAAAAGCATTGCATGTCAGGATAGCTCTTAAAATTGGAGGGTGTTCATTTTCTTTTTCTAACAGAACTCTAAACAGTAGTCACTTTTTTTTGGTCAAGTCCCATGAGATGAATGTAATGAGACTGTTTAAATACTGTCATCCTATTTGAACTGTGGTCAAGTGAACCCATTTGAATAAGGAAATGATTAGACAGTGCTTGGATAGCCATGTCTGCTCTTCCCCATCCTGGGGCTAGTGTGCTCTTGAAAGTCTGAGTGATTTTTTTTCCTGACAAAGGGGCTGAGAAGTTGTCTGAAATTGGTGGCAAGATTTTGAAGTGAGTATAAGTTTGGAAGACTACTCCCCTCTTCTTTTTGTGAGGGAGTCCGATATAGGGTATGTGCTTTTTTGGCTAAGAAGAATAGATAAAATTATTTTGAGAGGTTGAGTTTATAATGGGGAACAATACTAGGTTATAAAACAATCCCACTTATTTGAATACAAAAGCCATGTCAACTTTGAATCTTGCTCCAACTGACCTATTGCTCCATCTTAAACCTATTACAATGGTTTAAGATGGCATCTTTTATATATAGTTCAGGGAAATATTATTTTTGTTATTCATAAAAAGTTAATTGAGGTTAAATGTTAGCATATATTCCAGCTAAATATGAGTCTCTGACATCTACCTTTAAAAAGCAGATACACTGGCAAATGTGAATAAAGTTAAATTAAACTACTTATGAGCACTAGCACTTTATAAATTAAATATACTACATTTAAAAGGTGTCATTGAACTTTCTTAAATACATCAGTCATGATTAAGGATTTTGTGAATAGTTCTTTTATTAAGAGCCACCAAGTATTGAAATGATTTTTTGAAATGTTTTAAGATAATCTAGTAGTATGTGGAATACCAATAAAACAAAATTGGTACTATATTAACTATTGAAGTTGGGGGTTCTCCATTATTTTTGTTTGTTTGAAAATCTGCATAATAAAGAGTAAAAATAAATACTGATAAATCACATCATAGATGTTAAAAACAACCATAACAACAACAAAGCCGTATGAGTTTCATCACAGGTGGCAGAGACGGATCTATACTTCAAACTAAGCTGCCGAAAACCTGGGTTTTTTGTAAGGAAAGTAATGAAGATAAGCCAGAGGTGAGACTAGCCAAATAAAACAGGAAATAAGTTATTAACTTCAAAGCTTCAAACTAAATGTACAGAAATTATTATATAGCCGCAACAACACCACTTATTATAATATTGTTACCATTCCCTAGGAATAGGGAATTTTAAAAGAATTTAATTTTTGGACATTGCCAACAGTCCAAGTTTCTTACCAGGAAACAAAAATAACTAGTAAATGATTTAAAAATAGACAAAATCAAATGCCAGACGCTGTAGGAATGAAGCACATTGCCTTGGAAACCAGGAAGTTAGCAACTGAACAAACACAAAGGAAGAATTCTATTATTAGCAAATGCTTATAACTCAAAAAAGGCAGGTGGGGAGATCTTACTGTATGGAACCTGCATCATAAGCTGCTGGGAGGATTAAGTGAGTTAGTGTAAGTAAAGTACTTAGAGCACCTCTAGGCACATACTAAGTACTAGGTCTCAGTTAGCTACCATTATTGCTGGTATTCTTACTATGCTGCTGCATTACCAATCAGGTTTATTTCCGTATGTTAGTAGTGTCTGTGATTTCATGTGATTTGGCGACATTCAATTTGAAAGCCCAGGCTGTGCTTTCATGATAGCCACTCACAATTTCCAGGGATTGGAGGGGGATAACTACTTACAAGCAATTTCCTGAGATATTTAGATACCTTGAAAGTATTGATTTGATTCTCCAGTGGCCAATTGACTCTAAGAGAAAACTTACACTTAAAATATCTTTCTCTGTTTACAGAGTTTTAGCAGATATCTTATACCAAAAAAAAAAAAAGAAAAGACAAACCTGGGTATACTCATGAGCTGGTGGCACACAAGGCAAACAAACAAAACAGAAGTATACACCATTTTTGCCTTCATGTGCTTTAATTATGGCTGGAAGGGACAAGGCTGCAACTTTGAAACTCCTTCACCTTTCTCTTTCTTTATTATTTTTCAAGTCCCATGTAAAATTCTAATATTACTGAGGAATTGAAAAAAAGTCTTTACACAGAAACATGCTTCTCCCTCCCATGCTTCCCATGCCCTAGGCCCTTGGTCTCTGTCAGCCGTATGTGGTAGTACAGAGCAAAAAATGTAACAAGTGACTTTGACTTATTTATTTCCAAGAAGTCATTAGGACTTTTTGATATAGCCATTCACAATGTCAATAATGACTTTTACATTTTTTAATAATGAAAGCAGTAAGTCACGAATCACAAGTCAGTGATAGTACATAAGGTTTCTGACACACAGTAACCAAAGAAGAATATGAATGCTTAAGTCACATCCAAATGCCTCTAAATTGTATTATGAAGCACAGTTGTGTGTCCATTTTAACTGTACAAATTAAGCAAAAAGCTTTAAAAGTGAAGGCCTTTTTTCAACTGTACAAAGAAGGGCCATAGGAGTTATCTTCAGCCGCTGGGGACTCAGAAACTTACCTGAGGCCTATGATGCCTCACAAGGCTGCTGGATTCAGATGTCAACAGAGACCTTTCCTCTGATGGAGTAACTAGGTAGCAGTCAGTCAGTGAGCAAAGACAAACAGTGACTTCAAAACACACTTTCAGAATAATTTAATCTCAATGGAAAAATAAAATGGTCAAAATACATTACCTTGTATTTTCCTTTAATAATGCCTTCAAACAATCTTTCCTTGGTTCCGTAGAAAGGCAAACAACCACTGAGCAGGATGAAAAGGATTACACCACACCCCCAGACATCAACGGGCTTTCCATAAGGCTCTCTCTTGACCACTTCTGGGGCCATAAAGTGAGGTGTTCCAACACGTCCTGCATTTAAAAACAACAACATTAAGGAAAACTAAAGGGGGGGGGGTTTCACTTGAAAACTGAAAATAATAGAACACTAACAATCTGATCAGAAGATTTGCCAGTGTAAAATATTCTTGCACTACCTTTCTTCTCCCCATAAAAGGAAAAAATGGTTTCTCTAATCACCTCTTGAAAATACTGATCCCAGAATAGGACCCTGGCATGCCCGCTTGAATTCTATATGCGACACAGAGGTATTTATGTTTTTCTTGCTTCATGAAGAAGTTCAAATGTTCTAATTTGGAGCAGAGGCAGGTGGAAGAGCTAGCAGGCAGAATCTGTACTTGCCCAGGAAAGAGCTGGGAGGCCTGCCCTGGCTACAAGATTACTTTTGATTGCCACGTGGAAATTCTCTAATGAAAACTAATGCTGAGAGCTTTTATTTGGAATATGAGTTTGAATCTGCAATCCTGTACAGTGGATGTTATGAGCTGACAGTAACAATTCACAATGATCAGTGACATTTTTTTACAATAGGAATTCTTAGCTTCCTCCTAACACTAACATTGCAAGAGAATGAGAACAAGTAACAACACACACTAAAGCAAAATCATGACACTCCTCCCATTCAATCCTCTTTGCCCATCCTTTTCTTTAGAATTGTCTTTTTCCCTCCTCTCTATAACAAACAGCTTGCTGGAAGGAATCTGATACTAGTTGTTTGCACATTAATCTTCACTTTTAATTTGGCATCCTAAAAAGTCTTTTCTTCTACTGTGGAATAAAAGGCTTGTACCTTGTAGGGAAGTGACTGTGGGACAGGGCACTGCCCACCAGACTTGGCAGCTCTTCTAGATGTTTGCAGGCCCAGCTCCTCTCTTCCTTCCTCTGTCTGTCTGTCTCTTATCATACTGAGTCCAAGATAATTTTTTACTTTGAAGATTGCAAAATACTTTAGAGCTCAGAGTTGTGTGTGGTTCAGTTTAAAAAGTACTTAAGAGATCTTCTGATCCAGCTACAGAAAGAATGTATTTTTCTGGCCTGTTGGCAGTTACCAAGCTCAGTCGGGACAGAGCAGGATAAAGCAGCTTGCTTATGGGGGTCACCCCTGTTGTATATCATTAAAGTCCCCCCCATAACAGAGGAGATTAAGTTCAGGATTCCAATAGTGAAAATACCTTCATTTAAAATATACAACGAAAACTCTGTACTGGCTAGAAGGACCTGGTTAGAGAAATATTTTCTTAAATTTCTGGATTGTCTGATTTTGCTTCCTCAAGTAGTGTAAAGAAATGATGGGAGCTAAGCCTCCCACTTCATTGGCAGCCTGGATAGAGAGGGGCCCTGGAGAATGAGCCTTGTTCTGATGGACAGAAGCTATCAGGAGCAGGGAAAAGCAAGGCAAGAACTCACGGTACCATTTGGGTTATGGTTACGGGCACCAGTCAAATACTTGCTGATGGTTCAGATGCACTCAGTTTGACCCCTACTACTTCCCAGTCAGGAAAGGGCCAAGCAACTCAAAATGGGGGCCTCACTCTGAGAATAACCAGAGCCACCATGGCCAGTCCAGCCATCCTAAGGAGGTTCTTTTCAACTGTCTGAGTGAAGACCATCCAATTCTGGAGAATTAGTGTGCATTCTTAGGGAAGGAGAGTAGCAGTGGGTTCAAGAATTTGCTCAGAGATGACAGAGGGAAACACCATGGCAGAAAGAAGATAGCAAAACGCTGCTTTTATTTCAGGTCCTTTGGTAGAAGGTGAAAAAGATTGAAGTTAACCTTTAACATACTCTAACTTCCCAAACTCCTTGTTTTTTCTGTTACTCATTTTCCTTCTTTGTAATCACTTGACTTTAATGACTTTGACCACAAAATTCTAAGAACAGGAAACCAATTACCAAACCAAATTAAATGTCATTCATTGTTTATGAAATACTTCAGTTATGTACTTAAACACTTAACTGTTGCATTTAGATACTATAATAAAACCTTCCTACCTAGACCCTCAAGGAGGGAGTTGTTCTGAAGAGCTACATTATCTATACTTTAGGACTTGAATCTCTACGCACACAACTGTTTCTACTTTAATAATTTTGTATGGCTATCTTTCAACAGTTTCCTGGCTTCTTTTACACAGGATGCTGAAAATAATTTAACCTTTTTTTGGTGACTAAGAGTTGTTGCAGTAGATCTCAATTGAAGAGCTATGCTATAGAACAGAAAGTCCCTTAGGCACTTGGAGGAGATGTCAAGGTTGGCCTCTTTGGTATTAAAAGGCTGCTGTGCTCGCCACATTCTGGTGTCTGCTCACTCTATTTTCTTCTGTTAGGCTTTCATTTCTTTTTTCTCACTATACTTACTCCAGTTCTGGCTTCTCCTCATTTGTTGCTTCTAATCTGCAATTGGAAACTGACTAGGAACCACATTCTTTCTATTTAATAGCAATTTAATAGCACATTTCATTTAATAGAAATTTCTCAAGAGCTTGTTAGGTCCTAAACACTGTGGTAGGTGCTGTAGATACAGAGCGGATAGACAAACCTTATAAATCTCCATCTTTGCTGTGATTACAAGTCCTTGATCAAATACTACATGGAGCTGTGCAGTCCACATAGTGATGGTAATGTGGAAGAGAAGGAATAGGCAACCAAACGAGGATAGTTAAGATTAGCCTGCTTCTAGCAGGAGATAATTGTTAGCTCAGCTTTCAAGAATAGGAGTTAACCAGACAGATAAAATGATGAAAGACTTTCCAACCAGGGCGATCAGCAAGTGCAAGTTATGAAGGAACATGAATCTATACAACTTTATGAAAAATAGGAGCAGGTTAGCCTCAGAGAAAGTATTTTTTTCTCCTAGTACTAAGGTTTGAACTCAGGGTCTCACACTTGCTAGGCAGGTGCTCTACCACTTGAGCCACACCCCCAGCTCTTATTCATTTTAGTTATTTTTCCGATAAGGTCTCATGCTTTTGCCCAAAGCTGACCTTGGACTGCCGTTTTCCTACCTGAGCCTCCCCATAGATGGGATTACAGATATGAACCATCACATGTGGTTTATTGGTTGAGATGGGGGTGTTGCTAATTTTTGCAGGGATGGTCTTAAACCATGATCCTCCAGATCTCTGCCTCTGGAGTAGCTTAGATTACAGGTGAGAGTGTCTTTAGATGCTCAACCGAGAGGACCATGAATGGATTTTTGCCCTCATCATAATTATTTTCTATATTCCCAGCTGTATTCTGGATAAATAGGTTCTCCAAACAGCTGAGTTTCAGGTGAAGGAAGTGTGAATGTAGTTGTTTTTAGTATATGGAATGTATATAAGGAGATAATTCCTTTCTATTTGGAGGGCTGCATAATCAAAGATTTTTACAGACAGGAAAACAGCTTTCTGTTTCAAAGTTGATAAATATCAACAAAGTCAGAAGTACAACAGGAAAGCTTTTCCTGAAAGAAACCATTTATCCCTTATCTTCTCATAGTCTATTAAATGACACTATTTTGAATATCAGAGAGTGTTGAATTCTAAGCATAGAGAATAATAAATTTTGAATAGCCAACACACTGGGGGTTCAAAATTAGCTGTAAAAATACAATTTAGGGAAAAGGTTCATGGACTTTAGCAAAAACAGATTAACATGGAGAAAATGTCCAGGTAAACTGAACAAATCTGCTTGTCCCCTTCAATCAAGATGTGCAATAAAACATGGCGCCCAGGATATTCTGAATACTAACATCTGCTCTGCAGATCTAGGGCAACAGAAACAAAGTCATTCTGTATGGCCGGTAGTTAACATAAAAAAGGAATTCATTTCATTTCCTCTCCTCTCATCTCATCTCATCTCATTAACCTTGGGGATATAATCACATTTGTTATCATTGTGTAGTCTTAACACATGGTTGACTGTACAAATACCATATTTGAGATAGTTGGTTTAACAGCAACATTTGTTTTTTAAAAAAAAAAAACTTGGGAGTTTTGGTTGCTGCAAGATCAGTATGCACCAGCAGGGTTATGTGGTTGTCCAAACAGGGGATGCAATTTAAAGTGATGAAAATGGAAGACCCGGAACAAAAAGAAGTGCTAGACCAATACTACTGTAAGCACTGGACTGACTGGACCTGTGGTTCCAGTGTTCAATTCTGTGTGGGTAGTGAGGAGATTAAGAAGCAGTTTATATGAGGAATGGCTTCATTAACATAGGGAAATTAACTTGGATCATACTCAGGGAGACCTGTCTTTAGACATTTGAATAGCTATATGTAGAAGGATGAAAATTGTTCAGAGTGGCTTCAAAAGTCAAATTTAGGACCACTGGGTGGAAGTTGCAGAAAGAGAGATTTCTGTTAATGCAAGGCTGAACTTTTCAATACTCAAAGAGGTTTCCAGAAATGAAATGAAATGAACTGTCCTGGAATGTTGTGACTTCTTTGCCATCTAAGGAATTAAACTGGAGCTCAGACTTTTGTTGGGAATATTAGGGGAGAATTCCACCTTTGCTTAAAAGAACAGAGAAGTGAAGGCTCTCTGGAATCCTGGGACTCAGTGACTCTATAATTAAACTATGCTTCACTACCTGATCCTTTGGACAGTCTTGTAATCACTGACAGGAAGTTTTTTTTTTGTTGTACTGGGATTTGAATTCAGGGCCTCATGCTTGCTAGGAAGGCATTCTACCACTTGAGCCACTTCACTAGCCTTTTCCTATGTTGGGTATTTTCGAGATAGGGTCTCATGATATTTGCCCAGGCTGGCTTTGAACTGTGATCCTCCTGATCTCTGCCTCCCAAGTAGCTAGGCTTGCAGGTGTGAGTCCAACAGAAAGTTTTGAATTAGGAAAGAAACAGCATAATTCTTTGAAACTATATACATGTTGCAATTTCTCATATTACTGGAAATGATTAGCTGGAAAAGAACATAAACTAGAAGAAAACTTAAACATAATTTAATTTTAGAGGACAATGTGGTGAGAAAGTGATTTAAAAATATGACTATAACCTAGGGTTCATACTTCAGAAGATGGTCTATGTTATTACTGCTTGATGTTCTAACTACAATCAATTAAGTTGATTCAAATATCCTGTGTAACAGATCATTATTTTGCTATTTATCATTTGGCAGGTATTTGAATTTAAAATAAACATTCTTTAAGGGTGATAAGTTTAGAAAGTTCTGTTGATATTGTTCATGTATTTCTTCTTTGTGACAGCTGTCAGTACTTAGAGATGGAAAAGAGAACACATGGACTAAAAGACTGATAGTGTGCAGAATGGAGAACTAAGTAAATTTCAAAACTAAGGAATAGAACTAAAACCAGGGCAGCATTCTGAGTTGGAGTCTGTTGAACAGAATGGATAAAAAAAATCAAATACTCGAATCTGTAACTAGGATCCACCTTTGTATGCTGGTGAAGAAAGATTCTATTTTAACTTCTTCCTTTTTCCTTTTGGCATAGGAATTTTAAATTATGTTTTGCTTTGGTTAATAATAAAATCAGTCTGCATTCACATCTGATTTGTTCTTCACAAATACAAAGGTTGATGACCTGAATAGGATCTTTGACAAATGGTAAAAGGTAGGAAATTAAAAATTAGCCACAGATGTAAATCTGACAATGTCTAATCCTCACACTCTAGCTTTGACTTTAAAAGCTTCCATGCAAGCCTGGCACTGGTGGCTCATGCCTGTAATCCTAGCTACTCAGGAGGCAGACATCAGGAGGACCACAGTTTGAAGCCTGCACAGGCAAAAATAGTTTGCAAGACCCTATCTTGAAAAACCTTTCACAAAAACAGGGATGGTGGAGTGGCTCAAGGTGAAGGCCCTGAGTTCAAGCCCCAGTAATGCCAAAAAAAAAAAAAAAAAAAAACAAACTTCCATGTTCCAAATATCACCTTCTTTGAAAACTGTTTAATCTCTTTATGTAGCACTTCTTCTTTTTTAAGTGTTGAGGATACGAGTCAAAAGACAGGATCTTTTTTTTTTTTTTTGGGTGCTAGGAATGGAACTCAGGGCCTGTGCACAATAGGCATATGCTCTACCACTGAGCTATACCTTCAGCTACACAGTGTATTCTTAAGAGACTAAAATTCTAGTTATGACTACAGAGTTATTAAATTCAAAACTATCTGATGGTATGTTTGGGGGTGGGTGGAGTAGAATGGGGTATGAAACATTGAGGTTAGGTTAGTATTTATTTTGAAAGTTTTATACCAGCTTCAAAGTGACCAGGATTTTGAAAGAAAAAAATTTAAAAAGTGGTCTTACCTCCAGCTACAAGTCCAGATTCTCCTAATTGAATAGCTACTCCAAAGCCCCCAAGTTTAACAGGTGCTGAGTTTTCTTTTGAGGCGAGGAGAACACAGTGGGGCTGAAAAAAGCAACAAACCAGACAAACAGAAAATAAACCCAAAGATAAGAATTAATTGCAAAGAATAATTCAATTCACACACAACTGCTTAACATGATAATACAGTAATACTTCTAAAAACTTCTGAATTATTTTGGATACTTGACTTTTGTCTTCTCGCTTTTGGCTGATGTCTCCAAAGACTTACCTGCTCTAGTCAATATTTTTCAGGAATTATTTGCTTCCAAGATTAGGTCATGGTGCTAAGAATTACTCAGGAACACCAATACATTTTCTTCCTTTATTAATGCAGTATTTTTTCCTTTGACTGTTAAGGAAAAATATGTTTCACTTCCTGCCACAAGGTGCCTTGAAACTTCTGACTTTCCCTATAAGACCACTAAATCTTGATTCTTAGGGGATGCTGATGGTCTTTTCTTTGTCCACCCTTCCCTATCCTCTTTCTTTTCATTATTCATTCCAACCCTGCATAAGAAGGAATACCAAATGGATGTTCAGATTTAGTGACTTTAATTGAGCTTTATTTCCAGGGAATTCAATCCTCTCCTTGGGCACATCTTATCTCTGGACCTGTCTTTCCTCTCTGTGGGAGTGGGAGGTGAGGAAGGAGAAGGGAGAAAGGAGACTACATGGCCAGCCTCTAGTCCAGGGCAAGACATCCTTTCCAAGGGGTAGCCTGCTTGACCAGGGCTTGCCAAGTACCATATGCTTTGTGGTCACAGTGATAGTTAATTTGTAGGACCCTCTCATCTGCATTTATTTCTTTCTGGAAGTTTGTTGGAGCTGGTGTCAGGAAAGAATTTAATTGTGGGGACTTCTGGTCTCTGCTCAAATACTATATTCTCCAATATGCCTAATGCTACACCTGATCTGCTCTCAAAATATGGACAAGGCTAAAAAAGGCAAGCCTCTTTAGACATGGAAGATGAAAGTACTTTTTATTTTTTCCTATGCTTCCTCATTTATAAATTGATACAATTTTAGGTCAAGTTTAGCTAACATGATGGTTGGTATAAAACAAAACAAAAACAAAAACAAAAACCCTGTGTAATAAAGGAAGCTGGTGTACCCAGACAGATGTTTGATGATGACACACAGAAGTGGGAGGGGTCCTTATTCTGCCCAACGAGAGCATCAGGATTCTACTTTGGAAGCTACTCTTGATGTTCAGTGTAGTTTAAAGGCCTTTACATAGAGTCTAGCACAAAGACAGATGAGTGTGTGAGAGCAAGAGGAAGAGAGAAGAAAGGGAAAGAAGGTACACAAGTGAATAGTGAGAAAACTATGGTATGATCAAGCAGCAAGAAAGTGCATGGGAATTGGGAATATGGCTCAGTAGTAGAGCTCTTGTAACTATTGTATCAGGAAGAATGTGTCTGGTTGTCCTTATTTTAGTGATAGGATTTAGCAGTAGTTTCTAATTATTCTAATTTGTTTTGATATAAATCTTTTTTTCTTTTGGCAGTACTGAGATTTGAACTTAGGGCTTTGTGCTTGGTAGGCAGGCACTATACCACTTGAGCCACACCCCAACCTAAGCAATTTAGTGTTGTCTGCCTGACTCCCCATTATGAGATTCACTATCAGCTTTTCACTCAATGACGTTAGCAGCCATTAATGCATAGATCCATAATTTGGGGTTCCAAAATGGAGGTTTCTCTCACCATCTTATATGAAAACTATTAAACATAGAGAAAAATTAAAATAGTTATATAATAAAAAGCTATCTATTCACCACCTAGATTCTACAATTAGCATTTTGCTAAATTTGCTTTTTACTGAATATCAATCTATTCATCACTATCCAGCCATCAATCCACCTTACTTTTTACTACACTTTGGCACACATATTATTAGAATTTAATATTTGTTAAGTTTATTAAGGTAAATTTACACACCATGAAATGCACGAATCTGAAGTATACCATTAGAGAGTTTTGATGAATTACATACATCTGTGTAACCCAAATCACTATCAAGGTAATACCATTATCTCAGAAACCTCCCTCATCTCCTTCCCACTCAAGCTCTGCTGCAGTCCTTCCAGGGCAAACCACTGTTCTGAGGGTTTTTTTTTTTAACCAGGTTTGTTCTGCCTGTATTAGAGCCTCACTTACACAAAACCATATAACAGGCACTCTTTCCTGTAAGGCTTCTTTCCCTCAGCATAATGTTTCTGAAATTTATCCATTTTCTGCGATCAGCAATTCATTTCTTTTTATTGCTGAGTAAGTATTCCATTGTATGAATATACCGGTTTGTCCATTCTCCTGCAGGTGGACATTTGGGTTGTTTCTTGGTTTTTGATATTATGAATACAGGTTCTATGAACTATTTCCAGAATACCGAGTTGGTTTCTAGGCAACCTCCAAAGGTGACCAACGAAGGTTTTGTTTTGTGTTATTGTAAACTTTATACATTTGATGTGTTTTAATAAATTACCACCCCCTCCATTTTGATGCTTAAACTCTTCCATTTTGACCAGTGGGAGTCTCTTTAAGTTAGCTCTTAGGCTCTTTCTTAAAACTTAGGAAAAGTCTGTTAATACCTTGCTTTCAGGCACAAGGGAATGTCCCAGGCATCTCCCGTCCATTTCCTGCCCCAGGCCTGGCATTAGACATTGCTTCAAGGAGCCCATTTCTTTTTAGTGGGAAGAGGTATTTACATCCACAATGTGGGTACTAGCCATATTATTACTACTCAGTTATCATTGCTCTGACTTTTCAGTAGACAGCTAAAAATACGTACTTTTTAGAAGGAGAAAAATACATTACAAATTCATACCGATGTTTCTTCCTAATCAATTATAGGGTTTTTACTTTGATTTGGCAAGTAATATTGGTACTTAATGATATTAATGTAATTACACTTTTGTTCTGTCCATCAATATGTGTGTAGAGGTTTTAAAATAATAATACTACATCACCCATAAGAAGATTACTTGCTGTTTACAATTTCTTTGTGTTTTTTGTCTTTAGGATATATCCTACTAGGTAAACCCAGTCAAAATACTGTTTTACTACTGAGTAAAGAAAGAATCTATGAGTCTATGTGGATATAAATAAGCAAGGAAATAAATGCATGGGGAAAAAGGAAAAGCTTTTCTTTAAGTAGAAAACCAATTAAATGTAGAAGAAACGCTGGGATTAGAACATCACCAGCTGGTAGTTTTATCATCCTGATTTAGGCAAGAATAATCAAGGATGCTAGCTAGTGGGTAAGTTTGAAGAGAGATGGGATATTTATGTAGTCTCCAAGTATTTCCCCACAGGGTACTTATTAGTTATGAAGGGGAAATAGTAATTTTACAGGGGAGAAGCCTGGAAGACTAGCAAAACTGACATGGCTAGTAACAGGACTAGCTGATCACATGTGTTTTCTGATAAGATGTGCTGAGAGAACTTGGCGACACTGCCAAGGCACCAGGCAGATCTAATCATGAGGAAAAAACTGGATGAAGCTAAACAAAGAGGCTTTCTAGAAAGTAAGTGGCCTGTAGTCTTCAAATACAGTTAAGAAAAACTAAAGAAATATAACAAATAAATGCAATATGTGATCTTGTTGTTATTTTTTCTATAAAGGATATTATTAGGACAATTGAAATTGGAATGCAGTCTGTAGATTACATTCTTTCAATGTAAATGCTCTGATTTTGGTTATTGTACTTTGGCTATATAAAAGAATCCCTTGTTTTTTAGGAAATATAGACACAGATGAATAAACAGATAAGAATGAGAGATCAAGAAGCATACACAAATGTAGAAAAAAATGTTAGCATGGGGTTGACATCTGAGTGAAGGGTATCCAGAATTCTTTGTACTACTCTTGTAACATTTTTAAAGTCTAAAATTATGTACAAAAAAGCTATCCTATTTTAAAAAGTCACTGAAAATAATTCTCCTTGTGCTTTCACTTTGTAATATAGTGAGGTCCATTTGTTTTCATTAGATTTGGTGTTTTAATTATATAAAACATGCCTATAGCTCCAAAGTCAAAACTGTAAAACTAACTGCATTCACAGAGGTCTGGTTTTTGTCCTGCTCCCCTACCTTCAATCATTTTCTCCTCATTGGTAGCTATTTTTTTTAAATCAATTTTTGGTAGGCTATACAAATTAGAAATATTTTAAAGTAAGAAAATCCATACAAAATCCAAAACTTTCACTTACTAATCCTGTAGATGTGGAAGAGGCTCCCCTCTAAGTGCTTCTACTTTCTTAGTGAAATAAACAGCGATCACCAGGTGGGAGGTGGGGAAAGAGAGGGGATGCTGGCAGTTTGAGAAGAATGAAGGTGTAAAAAAGTATTTTTAAAGCACAGGAGAATGAACTGACTAAGTCAATGGCCCTCAAATTTTAGCATCAGAAGCACACAGATTGCTGGGCCCCATCCCCAGAATTCCTGGCTCATAGTTCTGAGATAAGGTCAGCAGCATTCATTTCTGACAAGCTTCAGAGTGATGTTGATGCTACTGGTCTGGGAACCATGTTTTGAGAACCACTGGACTTAGGCTTTGGTTATGAATTTGAAGCAAGACCAATCGGCATGATTGTGTGTTTGTACCCAGAAGTTCTCACTTTAGCTAGTAAGGTTCAGGCCTTGGAGGAGGTGGTGAATTGAATTTCATAGGGTTGGGATTTATATAGAGGATGGTGACATCAGCAACCGAAGGCACCAAAGAAGCATATACTTTTATTTCTTCTTTTCTACTTGTACCTTCACATAAGCAAAAGGCTTATGATACACAAGAAAGTAAGGCAGGAAGGGTGAGTAGAAGAGGATATATAGGAATGAGCTAAAAACACAGAAACAAAGTACAGTTCAGAATGAATAGGAACAAGCTCATATAAAGAACCATGAGAAGATAGTACTCAAATCTGGTGATAGCCTTGCTGATTCAACATTGAGGAAAAAGTGTGGTTATGATATGAGAAAACTAAAGATGTAAAAACACAATTAGTATTTAGGAAAGGAATGGCTTAGGGGTGGGAAAACAGCACACTATACAAAATTATTTATGCTAGATTTAATGAACTAGACCATTACTAGGTAAACACCCCTTCAGTCATAAATAAATCCTGTCAGGATCTTGATGAGATCATGTACGCCTATGGTAATCACAGCATTATTCACAATTGCCAAGAGGAGGAAGCAACCCAAATATCCACTGAGAGATGAATGGATAAAGAAAGTGAAATATACCCATATAGTAAAATAATGCAGCTTTAAAAATGAAGGAAATTCTGTTACATGTTACAACATGGATGAACCTCAAGGAGACTATGCTAAATGAAACAAACCAGTCATAAAGGTCAAATACTGTATGACTCCACTCTCAAGAAGTATCTAAAGTAGTCAAAAATCACAGAAATAGAAAGTCATGGTTGCCAAAGGAAGGGTTCAGGGGAGGGAAGATTAGTGTTTAGGTGGGTACAGAGTTTCAGTTTTACAAGATGAAAAGGTTTCAGTGATCTGCAACAATGTGAATGCACTTTTTGTTACAGAACCATACACTTAAAAACGGTTAAGATGGTAAATTCAGTGCTATGTGTTCTTCACCACAGTAAGGAAAAAAATACTGCCAGACCAATATAGTAATTACCTTCTTTCCCAGAGGTTCTAAGGGGGAAGTAAGAGGTGCAAAATAAAGATATTGTCCCATGTATTATACTCATAACAACTAAAAGCCCTGGACAATATGATGTTCAAAAGAGTATAACCAGAAATAATTAGAATGTTAGCTAAAGCCCCGTGAGTTAAATACAGTTTGGTTAAACAAAGCTGCAGGATAACAATTATGGGGAGATAAAAGCTAACTCTTTATTCTAAATGACAAGAAAAAAAGGGAAATGACACCAAAGTGCTGGAGCAGTTGTTATGTAGATGAACAGATAGTGGTTAACTACTAGACTAGTAATGAAAACTGCAAAATCTCATCATTATTTTCCTTAAAATATAGGAGATTGTTTTAGTTTGCTCAAGTGACTTTATTATTGTGATAAAAAGGGGGGCATACCATCAGAAATCTCATCTAGTTCTAAAACGATAAACTTGTTTTAGAAAATAAATTCAAGGTCTTAAAGAAACATATGAAAATACACTAAGATCATGTAGAGATCAAATAACTTTTTGTTTGTTTTTGAGACAGGGTCTTGCTATGGAACTCAGGTTGGCTTGAAACTCACTATGTAGCCCAGGCTGTCCTTCACTTTGCAATTCTTCTGCCTCCACCTCCTGAGTGTTGAGAAAATAGGCATGCTGGTGCATGCACACCCAGCTACACCAACTAAAACTGAAACAAAATTAAAGAGTAAAAGATTCATTTCTAATACCAACATAATCAGTATAGGAAGGCCATTTCATGAGAATAACAATTCCTAAAATGAATCCAGAAAGAAGCAGAAATTCAATGCTTGTGCATAGAATCCAGATAGCATATTATGCATAATTTCTTGGGAAAGACAGAAAATGCTTATTTCTACTTATAATTCATAACTTTTTTTAAAGTTTAGAGGATGAAGGAAACTTTCTCCAGTTTTCAAGTTGCAATAAAGATGATGTAATTTCCTGAAGTTAAATGTTGATAGAGCTTGAAGTCACTGCATGGTGGTGAGAACTTTTAATATCCTCATACGGAGCCCAAGGGTTGTCACATTGAAAAAAGAGAGAAAAGGGGAAAAAGAAACCTTACTGCCACATGTGAATATAAAAAAGAAGAAAACCTGACCAATTGCACCACGACCGGATGGAAGAGCCCAGCTGACACAGCCCAGCTGACAGCACAGCAGAGTCTAGGGAAGCTTGGGTTTTACTCTTTTGACTGCAGGAAAGCCTGAACTGTAAGTATTCATTGATTTTCTAACTATATAAATGAGCCTCTGTTTTAGTTAAAATTCAATTATCTGAGCATTCAAAGTGAAACCGATTCATGTTGACAAGCTACTCTGATACCAGCAATTCTTTGCTTTTAGAGCTTCTGAGTACTTGCTTGAATGACACCTCTGCCTGGATTTCAAATGAGACTGTCTTTTTAGGACACCTAGTCACATCATTTATACTGCATTTGTAGAATGCAGATCTACTTGAATCAAATAAAGGTTATTTTCAGATTCTGTAAATTTTAATTCTAATGTGCTATAAATTATCTATAACTTCTTGACTTTGTTACGTTGTCTCTTTGTTTTAAATTATAGTATTTTCTTTATTATATTATTACTATTTTGTGGTAATTACTAGACTAATTAAATTTTAAGCTTGGTGTTTCAGAAGTAAACAAGGGGAATGAGAGAAAAGGGAAAAATATACCTTCATAAATTTAAATAACTCAAATTAAAGAAAATCTGGCACCATTTGTTTATAACAAAAACTTAGTATACTACTAATAGTATTATTTCCAAAGTAATATGCTTTCAATTTTTGTTCTGGATGCAACAGGTAATGCACTGTTGAAAGCAAGGCCTGAATAGATTCAGTCATTATCAAGTCAAATTAAATGTGGTGAAAGGTTGCTACCATTATCAAATAGGTATGTATTTCAACTTAGCAATAAATTATATAAACCTACCCAAATTGCATTTTTAAAGCTTCTGCTTATTTAGAGCCACTAGGGGGGATAAACTGGGTGGGGAAGGGTGGTGGCCATGGTGGGAGAGGGGGATGGGATCCAAGGTTGCAAACTTAGAACAGGATTGGCCAAGTAACAAATACTATTTGCTATTAGAAAACTATTGCAACCATTTCAATACAGCAACACGGGCCACAAGTAAGGCCTCCTTGGAAATTAGCCCACTATGTGAACACAGTGGTTGGCTTCTCATGTTCATTGGCAAATTCTTAACACACCAAACAAGTAGTTTGTGAAATATCAATAAATGGCCTTAGTGACAGTGAGTGAGTGACACTGTAATGTGCCAACTGACTTTAAAGGAGAAAAAGAAAGTCAGAGACTTAAGTTCAAAACAGAATCTAGTTTGTTCATTGGTTAATAAATAATTGAATGCTAGCATCTGATACTTTGATATGCTACTCTACGATTGAAACAAATGAAATGCTTTTGTTTTATTCTCTTTAAGCTTGAGACTAAGAAAATCCAGAAAGGTTTACGAGAGGTCTCGTTCAACTATTATTTATTTATTTTACTTGCATATGAGAGCTGAGGCAAATGGTTTTAGGACACATTGTTTGTGCTAGCAGCTTTCTAGAAACATCTTGATTACAGTTATCTGGTCTAGATGTAAATTTGAGAAGATCTGCTCTAGTAGATGTGCTGAAAATTCTATTGAGTGACTTGTGATTCTATAAACTTTGGATTCATTTACTTACTATAATGGACACAATGAATGAAAAGATTAGTAATTTTTGAAGAAGCATAGCTAGATAGCATAATCTCTTCTTAAAATTGCTAAGGTGGATAATGTTGAAGGGATCCTGCCAAAATACTACTGACAACTCAACATTAATAAGGAAATGGCATCAGATGTGATAAGAAGGAATGAGGTTTGGTGAAGAGGACCATGAGCTCTCAGAGTCAGATATGAGTCCCAACTTGGGCCCTGCCATTGCAGAGCTGTGTGGCTGTGGGTAAAAATCGTAACCTGTTTACCTTTTATCACCTCACACAGTTATTGTATAAAGATTATGGAAATGACATAATGTACTTAACACAGTGTCAGGTACACAGCTAAGTGCTAAATAAATATTAGTGAATGGTTCGGCTGTTTAGCTCAAGGGTTCCATTCTGACAGTCCATTAGCCTCTCCCAGGAGCTTTAAAAGGCAACCAGTAACTGAAGCCCATTCTAGACTAACTTCATGAGAACACCTGGGGAAAGAGTCAGGCAATAGTATCTTTAAAAAGCCTTCAAGGAGGAGAGGGGCGTGGCTCAAGTGGTGAAGTATCTGCCTAGCAAGCACAAGACTTTGAGTTCAAACCCCAGTACCACCAAAAAAAAAAAAAAAAAAGGCCTTCAAAGGGATTGTTATATGCAGCCAGAACTGAGTGCCATGGAGAACTCATTCTGCAGAGAGCCCCAATGGTGGTAGCCTTGAAAATCTCCAGTGGTAAGATCCTTACTGCCTCCCAGATAGACTATTGTTCCTTACAAGGAGGCAACATCTGCTCTGCAATTTCTTTCACTGGTCCTTGCTCTGCTCTTTGAAGACAAGGGGAAGCCCTCTTTTTCCTCTGCAGAATAAGGTGCCCATTTCCTTCCACTTGCTTCTGTGACGTCACTTCAGCTCCTGGTCTCCCATTTGGTCCTTGGCCTTTTCTATGTGTGCTGCTGAGGATGAGGAAAGACAGCATTCCACGAAGACTCGATCAACTTGGGACAGAACTAGGTCAGCAGTAACAATCTTCATAGGCGATATTGCACATCTGAGAATGCAACTAAAGATGCAGTGCTCTTTGTCACAGCCGTGTCACCCTGCTGACACAGCAAATGTGGTTGTGTTTTTGCTAATGCAGCTGACGCTCTTGCTTCTAGTACTTGAATTTTTTATTTTAAAATCCACGTCTAGAACTTTACATATAATTCTACTAAATTTCCTCTTTCATTCAACAATATTTATTGTGCTAAGTACTTGGTACACAGAGGCTAACAAAACAGGCTTGGCTCTTTTTTTTTTTTTTGTCTATGCCGGGGGTTTGAACTTGAGGCCTCAGGCTTGTTAGGCAGGCGTTCTACCACTTGAGCCACTCCACCAGCCCACAGACTTGGTTCTTAATGGTAATGATGTTTAAAATTTAGCATGGAAGAAGAAAAAAAAACTACTTACACACAAGTTTTTCAAGTCATGTCATCTATCCGGGCACTCAAAGTCCCATCACTTTTTGTGTCCCAACATCCTTTTACATGAGGATAGAAAGGATGCTTCTTCCTGGGCCTCTGGAGAGCTAGCCTCATAGGCTTCTGTGAGCACACAACACAGGTCCTGCTCCCCAGCAACGCACACTGCATTATCAATTCAGTGATAATTTACTGAATTCAGTCTGCCGCAGTTCCTGGACTTTCCTTTCCTTCAGGATGTCATATCCCAAGAAACATTCCTGTATGTTTCTATAAACCTTGTGAAATCTGCCTTCCTGTAGTTGAGACAGAGGACAGACTAGACACAATTCTTGCTTTCTTTCTTCCTTCCTCCTTGCCCCTCTCACCTTCTCCCTCTACTGTCCTAAAGTCTGGATATAGGCTCTCACCAGGGCTTACAGAACTTCCTCTTCACCAGCCACTTCCTCTTCCTCAGAACTGACACCCTCCCTGCTTTACAAGATTTTTTTTTTCTTTTATGGTGGTACTGGTGGTTAAACTGAGGCCCTTGTGCTTACTAGGCAGGCACTTTTCTCACTTTACCACTTGAGCCATGGCCCAAGCCCTTTTTTGCTTTAGTTATTTTTAGGGTAGGGTCTTGCTTTTTTATGCCTGGGTTGGCCTGGACCATGATCTTCTTATTTATGTCTCTGCATAGCTGAGATTACAGGCATGAACCACCACATCTAGCTATTAGTTGAAATGGGGTCTCACAAACATTTTCCTGGGCTGGCCTCAAACTGTGATCCTCCTGAGAGTAGATGGGATTACAGGTGTTCAAAGCCAGCTCGGGAATAGTTCTTGAGACCCTATCTCAAAAATACCCAACACAGAAAATGACTTGTGGAGTGGCTCAAGTGATAGAGCATGCCTGCCTCGCAAGCATGAAGTCCTAAGTTCAAACCCCAGTACCACCACCACCAAAAAAAAAAAAAAAAAAAGAAATTCATTATTGTAATTAAGATTCAGGGTTTGAAGCACAGTCTTACAGAAATGTTTACTGAGAACAGGATCTATCTCACTCACCTTTGTTTTCTAAGCATTACTTACTAAGTGAGAAATATTTACTAAAAGGAAATTAATCAAAAGGCATTTCTTTTTTTTTTTCATTTTTCTTTTATTATTCATATGTGCATACAAGGCTTGGTTCCTTTCTCCCCCCTGCCCCCACCCCCTCCCTTACCACCCACTCCGCCCCCTCCCTCTCCCCCCCTCAATACCCAGCAGAAACTATTTTGCCCTTATTTCTAATTTTGTTGTAGAGAGAGTATAAGCAATAATAGGAAGGAACAAGGGTTTTTGCTGGTTGAGATAAGGATAGCTATACAGGGCATTGACTCACATTGATTTCCTGTGCGTGGGTGTTACCTTCTAGGTTAATTCGTTTTGATCTAACCTTTTCTCTAGTACCTGTTCCCCTTTTCCTATTGGCCTCAGTTGCTTTAAGGTATCTGCTTTAGTTTCTCTGCGTTAAGGGCAACAAATGCTAGCTAGTTTTTTAGGTGTCTTACCTATCCTCACCCCTCCCTTGTGTGCTCTCGCTTTTATCATGTGCTCATAGTCCAATCCCCTTGTTGTGTTTGCCCTTGATCTAATGTCCACATATGAGGGAGAACATACGATTTTTGGTTTTTTGGGCCAGGCTAACCTCACTCAGAATGATGTTCTCCAATTCCATCCATTTACCAGCGAATGATAACATTTCGTTCTTCTTCATGGCTGCATAAAATTCCATTGTGTATAGATACCACATTTTCTTAATCCATTCGTCAGTGCTGGGGCATCTTGGCTGTTTCCATAACTTGGCTATTGTGAATAGTGCCGCAATAAACATGGATGTGCAGGTGCCTCTGGAGTAACAGTCTTTTGGGTATATCCCCAAGAGTTGTATTGCTGGATCAAATGGTAGATCGATGTCCAGCTTTTTAAGTAGCCTCCAAATTTTTTTCCAGAGTGGTTGTACTAGTCTACATTCCCACCAACAGTGTTAGAGGGTTCCTTTTTCCCCCCGCATCCTCGCCAACACCTGTTGTTGGTGGTGTTGCTGATGATGGCTATTCTAACAGGGGTGAGGTGGAATCTTAGCGTGGTTTTAATTTGCATTTCCTTCAAAAGGCATTTCTAAAGCTAACTTTTTTTTTGGGCAGTGCTGGGGATCAAACCCATGGCCCTTGGACATGCTAGATAAATGCTCTACCACTGAGCTACACCCCTCTGCCCCAAAGCTAACTTTTATCAACATGTGCCAGGATTAAGTTCTTCATACCTGTTTTACATTTTTACAAATGAGAAAACCGAGACTTCAAAAAGATTAAGTTGTTTGTCCTTGATCAGAGAATTCGGTCTGATTGTGAGAATCTTGCTCTGTCTTCCTGTTAGACTTGTTAAGAGGCTGCTGTAGATAAGCAGGGCAGTTACTCTGAGAAAGGAATGTGCTGAGAGCTGGTGGAAGCCTCTCTTTATTTCCTCTGGTCAGTATGACAGGCACTCACACTCGTTCTTCATCGCAGTCAAAAGCCCAGGAAATGTTCAGTAACAAATAGCTCTGGGAACATTGTCTGCTGCTATAGACAAGCAGAGTTCACGCACAATGTCTTAGAAAGTTCTGCCAAGAATTTCAAATTATGCAGCCTAGGGCACATTGCAGTTTCAGTCAGTAACTTTCAAAATCTTGGATTGCACGTCCCATCTCCCATCTGTACGATCACCCCATGCTTCTAGGTCAAGGGTGGCTAAGTGGCTGCTGCCAAGTGACTTGGATTTGTTTGGTCACTTTGTTCTCCTGTGCAGTGTTACAAAGTCTGTGTAAGGAGGCAGGTGCCAGCTCTCTTTGGTCTGTTATGTCAATTGCATGTTCTTGTGGGCAAATGACTAATATCACTACCTTGCTCTTGGGTTGAGAAGGAAGAAATTTAGGATCTCTCCTCTATTCCCACTATGGAATGAGAGCTCACCATAGTTTATCTGTCTTACTTCATGTGGCAACGTATGTCACAGGGAATGAATAGCACATATGAGGGGAAGGGGCAAGGCAGGAAGCTGGGAAGGGCCAGTGGTTGGCCCAGCTCCTTCACGGCTGTAACCATCTTTAGGGAACTTGATGTTCATCTTTGAAAACTATGAGTTGTCATTTCTCTTTGCCCCTATCTCTAGTCCAATCATAACCTCTCTAAGAAAGCCATTTATTTTAATATAATAAATGAGACCAACCCTGGCACATGCCACAGTCATAGGAAAGGTTAGAACAAGACACTGTCTGAGATTCTACTTAAGTCGCTTCTTATTTTGTGATACAGTAAAGCTCCTACGCACATGATGCAGATATCCAAATGGTCCAAAGTAGGATAGCAGTAAGGTTTCTCACAATGTCTAAAAACAAATCATTCATTGTTTATGCTTTGAGCTGAAGTAGGTGTTACTAACATGGCGAATGACTCCATGTTTGGCACTGTGTTATAGGAAAAATCTGAAGACATACGGACTACATACAAGGAAGATGTCATTTAGCAGGCCCTTTTGATCCCCACCAGAGAGAAGTCACGCTGGAACAATGACAACCACTTCAGTTGGCAGCTGGCCCTGCTCCTCCCATGGAATGTACTCTGTAACTAATCACAGTGACCAAGCCCCACAGAACTTCTCAGGAATGCCAAATGGTACTAGCTGTTCCATGGATGAGAAACTTCTATCTACTGTGTTGATGACATTCTACTCTATTATCTTTGTGGTGGGACTGGTCGGAAACACGATCGCCCTCTATGTGTTTCTGGGAATCCACCGCAAAAGAAATTCCATTCAAATTTACCTACTTAACGTGGCCATTGCAGACCTTCTACTCATCTTCTGCCTGCCCTTCCGAATCATGCACCACCTTAATCAAAACAAGTGGATCCTGGGTGTGGTTCTCTGCAAGGTCGTGGGAACGCTATTCTACATGAACATGTACATTAGCATTATTTTGCTTGGATTTATCAGTTTGGATCGCTACATAAAAATAAATCGGTCTATCCAACAACGGAGAACAATAACCACCAAGCAAAGTATTTATGTTTGCTGTATAGTATGGACAGTTGCTCTTACTGGATTTTTAACTATGATTATTTTAACACTTAAGAAAGACGGGCACAATACCACAATGTGTTTCCATTATAGAGATAAGCATAACGCAAAAGGAGAGGCAATTTTTAACATCGTTCTTGTGGTTATGTTCTGGCTAATTTTCCTACTAATAATCCTCTCATATATTAAGATTGGCAAAAATCTACTGAGGATTTCTAAAAAGAGGTCAAAGTTTCCTAATTCTGGTAAATATGCCACCACAGCCCGGAATTCCTTTATTGTACTGATCATTTTTACTATATGCTTTGTCCCCTATCATGCCTTTCGATTAATCTACATTTCTTCACAACTAAATGGATCACCTTGTTACTGGAAGGAAATCGTTCACAAAACCAATGAGATCATGCTGGTCCTTTCATCTTTCAATAGCTGCTTGGATCCGGTCATGTATTTCCTGATGTCCAGTAATATCCGCAAAATAATGTGCCAACTCCTCTTTAGACGATTTCAAGGTGAGGCGAGCAGAAGTGAAAGCACTTCAGAATTTAAGCCAGGCTATTCCCTGCATGATACCTCGATGACAGCTAAAATTCAGTACAGCTCCAAGAGCACCTGAGGTGACTAAAAAGAATCATACAGTCCAGTCTCTTCATTACTCAAAGGTCTAGAAAATGATGAAACAAAGCCTTCACATTTACAAAACTCTGACCTCCTCAAGGCTCTGTTTGTATTTGTGGTATTTCATTTGCTCAAGTGTAAAATAGTTCAAGGCAAAGCAAAGCTTACACTCATCACTGGATTTTAAATCTGTATGTAAAATCGTCTCAAAATATATTGGTAAGCTAATATTCTTAACATAAATTATAAAGTTAAGTGAAATTCAAGGCTTTAACAATGAAATAATTAAAGAAAAATATTACTGCTTCTCAAGTCACTAAAGTAGTTACTAAAATCAAGCACTTGGACTAATTTTAAAAAGTAAGTTTAAAAGTAAAGTGATTTGGGGGACTGTCTTGAAATGTCAAAAATATATATTCATTTGTCATTTAAAAAGCTTGTATAATTTTCCACTGTATTTGTTTATGCCTAAATATCTATTAACAGATGAAATACTAATAAAATTCTAATAAAATGAAATCACTCACTATCAAGCAGTGACTGACAGAATTTACACACTGTACAGTAATAGTTAAATATTGAAGGTAAGAATTTGATAGCTTAGCAAAAGGACTTAAAACTGCACCTTACTTAAAATAGATTTATAAACGATCCAGTCATCTCACCCACACTTTGTGATAGATTTTACTTTTGAAATTGAAGATGTGCATACTTTGTGATCCAGCAAGTCCGGTATGGACATACCTTACAGAATGACTCAAACACATACACAAGAATACATACGTAATGGTGCTCAGTGAACTACTGACCACAATACTAAACAACTGAAAACAACTAACTATGCATCAGAAAAGCATGGAGAAGTAAACAATGGCTTACTCGCAATGTGGAATCTTATACAGCACTTCAACACAATGAATTACATCCTCATTCACCAACACGGGAAATCTCTAAATTAATACTGAGTAAAAGTGAAAACCACAAAAAGTTGCAAAAGGGTATGCACCACATGAAATCATTTATGTAAAATATAAAACATGTAAATGCTATCATATTCTTTATGGATCCATATACATGCATACAATAAAAATATACACCATGCATGGTAATATATTATACAAAACACAGCAGCACACATACCGACTTAAGTTAATGGTTACATCTGGAGAGATGTGACACAATTGTGGCAAAATGTTAACGTTTATTAAATCTGGGTTGTAGGTACTAGGGTATCTGTTATATTAAGTTTTTGGTAAATTTCTGGGTGTTTGAATGATTTCACAATCATAAAGAAAACCTGAAGATTAGAATTAAAAAGCAAACTGAGCATGGTGGTACATCCCTGTAATCCCAGCTACTTGGGAGGTGGAGGCAAGAGGATCATGAGTTCCAGGTCAGCACACACAAAGTTAGGGAAACCTATCTTAAAACAAAACTAAAACAAAAGGGCTGTGGGTGTGGCTTAGGTGGTACAGCACTTGCCTAGCATGTGTGAGGCCCTGAGTTCAATTCCCAGTATTGCCAAAAAGAAAAAAAAAGAACTAGAAGGAGCAAACTGAAATGTTCATATATGTTCAAAATTAATTGGACAGTAAGCTCTAGGATAAAGGAAATCATCATTGACTCCCCAGAGCTTGGGGACATAGGAAATCAATATATATTTGTTGAATGACTGAATGAATGAATGGATGGATGGATGGATGAATAAGATGCGGAGAAAGGAAAGGAAGGGATGCTTAGAAGATAAAACCAACTGGGTCTATTTAGCTTTTTCTTAGTCAGTCTTCGGGATACAGCTGTGTAGAACATTATACAATTGCAATCTGTGGAGGTGTCGTTAGGCAAACCTTCTTAGAAGTTTGGTCACTATTTGTCCAGTTCTCTGGCCATACACAGAACCAGAACGCCATTGACTGAATATGTGAAAGTCCATTATGACAAGCTCTGAGGATCCACCATTTATTTCTGTCACAGAACATGAGATTTATTTTAAAAAACAGACTATTTCCTAAAACTCAAGTTAGGCCACTAGCTGGGAAATCAGAAGTAAAGGGTATGAAGAATTTTGTTAGAGCTGAATCTATTTTAGTGAGATTTGGCTTGCACATGGTTAGTACTAAGTTACCGTATTTCAGTAGGTGCACATGACTGGTTGAATAAAGAATAGGTCAAAGGAGAACCATATTAAAAAAAAGTAATACTTGAGGGATAAAAATTGAAATTCACAGAAGAATTTGAGGGTCAGAGAAAAGTACTAAAATTATTTTAATTATTTTTCCCTGACAATGCTAACAAATACCAACTAAATGAAATTCAGTACTACTGTTTGTATGATTTGAAACAATGAAAACTTTTATTACAATATTAGTAAACATTACAAAAATTTTTTTTGCAGTACTGGGGTTTGAACTCAGGGCCTCACACTTGCTTGGCAAGCACTCTTACCACCTGAGCCACTCCACCAGCCCCACATTACTGGTAAACATTTTGTATCTGTATATGTCTCTATACTAAACACACAGTTTAAATGGCTAAATTATATTATCAATTATTGCTATTAGCTTTAAGAAACATCAAAATACATACAAACCGCTCAGTTCTAGAAGCTACCTCATTATTTATACTAAATGAGATGATCCCTATACAGCCCTGCACAATGGCACTCTTAAAAAATTTTAAGTATGCTAAATTAATTTTTCCTATAACTTTATTTGCAATAAGATTAATTTTGGCAAAGTCAATCCATCTGGCACAAATGTCATTTATGCTTTAAAGTAAACTGAATTCTGAGAATATTTCTAAGATTTTAGAAAAACATGCTACTGACTCACCAAATTTAGAGCTATTTATTACAAATAACCTTTTACTTCTTACTGAACACTGGTATATGTAACTAGTAGACACTGATCCTACTTCCCTCAACCCCAGGTTTAGTTCTAGAAGTATACAGAATAAGGAAATTCACAAGTGTATACCTCACCTTGCAAAAGCCCTTCAGAACATGTTTCTAAATAAAATTTCACATATGCAAAAGCAAACAAGGGCCACCAGAGACCTTAATGCTGAGCACTGCTGGTAGTTCTGGAAAGTATTCTGTGCAAAGCCAGGTTGCATGCTGGTTGAATTTCTATGTTTCTACTAATAGAAAAAGACAAGACTATGAAAGGATTTATTTTCAACTTTAAAAAATGAATTAGTCTGGGTTAGTCTTACTGAGATAAAAGTAGAACTAATGTTATTACAACTACTTGAACCAAAGTCTTACTGAAAGTTATCCACGAGAGAAAAACAATATGAAATAGTTTTTCCTCAAAGGGCATCCTGGACTCTGCAGAAACTTGTTCATGACCTAATGTTGTTTTAGTCATTTGAAGTACAAGCTGAGCATACCTAATCTGCAAATGTGAAATCCATGCTCCAAAATTCTGAAATGTTTTATAGTTTAAGATTTCAGATTTTTATGTTAGGCATGCTAAATTAGTAAGGCCTGTGTAAATATCCTCAAATCAAAAAAATTCTAAAATCTGAAACACTTCTGGTCCTAAGCATTTTAGGTAAGGGATACTTAACCTGACAACAGAAATGGGCTTTACCAGACATAAAAATACAGCTTTTTTTTTTCTTGCCACAGGGCCTTGCACTTGCTAGGCAAGCTCTCTACCATTGAGTCACGTTCCCAACCCTTTTCACTTTTCACTATTTTTCAGATAGGGTCTCATGCTTTTACCTGAGGCTGGCCTCAGTCCTCAGTTCTCCTACCTATGCCTCACATGTAGCTGGGATGACAGGCGGGCAACACACGCTGGGTTTATTTGCTAACTTTTTACCTGGGTTGGCCTTGAGCCATGATCCTCCCAATCTCTGCCTCCCAAGTAGTAAAAATACATTCTTACCCTTCAATAAGGAAAACACTGGAGAGCAGACACAAAGACAGTCTTATCAGAGTGACAGAATACTGTAAGACTGCCTTACTCATGGATTTATTACATGTGGGTTTGACCAAATGTGGTCAAAAAACCAACCAACCAACCAACCAACCAACCAAAAACAGGAGAAAAAACAAAAAAGTTTAATTCCCACACACATTCTACCACTCAGCTGATGCAGAGAAGCTTTCAGTCAGTCCTGTGTCATCATCAGTTGTGTTGAAAACATTGTGTGATATGCTGAGTGTTTTCCTGCTCTTCATTTTGTGAAAATCTGCATCCCAAAAAGCCAGGTAAGTTATGGTAATCCTCCCAAGCCAAAAAGGGAACATAATGTGCTTAATTTTAATTCTAAAATTTTAATAAGGTGAAAATTTTAGATTTGTTGAAAGAAAAGCAGCATGTCTTTAGCAGATGTTGGGTGGCATGATGGGGAAAAATGAATCAAGCATCCCACAGTATTTGAGATAAAGAACACGAAATAAGATCTAGTTTTTGGTGAGCAGTATTAATGTGCACATTAGTAATTTCTGTGACAGGAATGTAGCCTGCTCCACGTGGTTTCAAATTATGGGCGCTCAGAGCTACTGTACATACAGTATAAGTAAATCTGAGTAATTTTGGAGCACTGAACTCTATATATCCTAAGCATTTGTGGCTTTTCCTCAGTGGTGGGCTTCTTGGAGTCATATCCACGGGGGTACCAAGGGTTCCACTGTACATCTTTAAGTAGATCCTAAGAGGTCTATGAGAAGAGTATATAACATATAAACGGTTCTGAGAAGGCTGGGGACAGGAATAAGCGAGAGTGAGCCCTAAGGTTCTGTTGTTAGTTAAAGGGAAGCAGGTTAAAGGTGGGGTGAAGTCCCAGGGAACTCCTATACATTCTCCTCCCTGAGATATACTCACAGCAAATAAAGGAAACTTCACAAAAAGCAACAGGCAGGAAGGCCATCCTTGGATTAATAACCAGTACTGTGCCTATTTAAAATAACAAGCCAATTTAGTCTCACCTTGCACCACATTAAAACAATTATAAATAGATTGAAAGGTTAAATATGAATAAAGAGGACAATTAAAAAGATCCTAAAGTATATAGTTACCTAAGTTGACTGTAGATGGGAAAGAATTTTCTATGAATGAAACAACAGAAGGGCTGGTGGAGTGGCTCAAGTGGTAGAGCGCCTGCCTAGCAAGCATGAGGCCCTGAGTTCAAACCCCA